CAATCTTCACCCTGTCTGTCTTCACAGACGCAAACAATTGTGGGTTATCAACAGAGTAAAATAAAACTTCTGTCGACTTTTCTTCTGTAACCAAAACAGAAATACGTCACTAGTAACGAGCGAAAATTCGTGTATTACACCTATTTATTTTTTCTTCCTTTTGCTAATGACGAGGTACGAACCGACCCAAGACGATGGCTTAAAAACGAACACCAATTAAACACCCAAATGAGACGTCCTAACTTCCAATTTAAAAAAAAGTAGCGCCATCTAATATTTAAATTCAATGATGTCTAATTATTTTTTCAGAATTTGTAGGTGTAAAATTTCTGAAAATAATTGTGAGTATACAGATTGAACAGGGTTCATTTCTAAGAAATTAGGAAGAGAGAGAACGATTTAAATTTCAATAGAAATTAAATTTTTGTAACTTTAACAAATTTTCGAATCAATGGATGTTAAAAACTTTCGACTTTGATAGGAAGTTCATTTCCTTTCTCTGATGAGTACTAAGTTGATTCAGAAACGGTTGCACACGACACTTTGCCGGCTGTAGGCCGTCGACTAGGATAAAAGGGACAATTTTTCCACTATTCGGGGCAGTTCTCGATACGATGTCGGACTGATAGCCATACCAGTCGGGCAGTCCATACAGACAGAGAACCATACGATTCAACGCAGTTCTCCATACAAGAGATGACCATAGTTAGCCGTTCTACGCATTCGCCATACGATAAGTAAGAGAGAAGAAGACCGCTCGAAAATGTTGATCGTGTCGAAAGAGCGCATCTTTAGAAGCAACGATTACTGAATGTTCCAATNCTTTCATCTATAATTATTAATAAATTCGATGATTTTTATGTATCTTATATATTCAACGTCTCCGACATGTCGTATGTAGTATAATTTGGGGAGATGTGGGTATAGTCAATTAAAATAGGTTATACCTTTATCTCACTGTTATCATCTCGCAATGATAATATCTATACCTTTCTACAAATCTGATCATCTTGGCGTCTTGTTGTACAGCCATGTAATGGAAAGGCAAGTTGAATAATTTTTTGATTTCCCCCCCTTGTAGTTATCTTACAGTATATTCATTAAGTGTCCAAAAGTTTGTGATAAGTTTTTATTGCATAATGGGGCTCCTCGATGATAGCAAAATGACTGTCATTGAGTTTGTTTTCCCAGTTGATTATGTATTGTTGTTTGAATGTTACAGTAATGCATTTGATAAAATGAGACATGCTTGTCCTATTTTACAAAATGCAACAAATGGCATTTCACATTTTACCTGACTTTATGGAGAAGTAGACCAAGACTCACATATTTATTAAATTTAATATAGTAAATATGAGTACCCCATTTTACCCACATCTCCCCTTTAAATTATATATTAAACATCTCTGACATTGACATTGTTTTATAATATCAATATATTGCGCGAAACCCCATGGATATAGATTTACTTAGTGGCAAATCAATCAAATAGTCAGAATCATAGCCTAGTACTGAGATGGCCATCTGGCTATTTCATTACTAGCTAGACATAAGCAGATGATAAAGATTTCAGTGTGGATAAGGAAATTCAGGAATTTTTTTATAGACAGTCTGTCCCAGATATGACAGACTTGCCCTTACCACCCATTGTAACCCTGTTAGAGATAGAATGGGTATGATTAAGAGAGACCTTGGTGTGCTGAGGATGGAAATATTAAAAAATGACAGACTTTATTTATGTGTTGCTGATATTTTTCTAAACAACACTGAACTCATTTCAAAGCATAGTCTCTTCTAAATTTAAATGTCATTAGAAACATCCAATGATCGCCTAAATCAGCGGTCCCCAACCTTTTTATCGCCGCGGACTAGTCAACGTTTGATATTTTACCACGGCCCACTGAGGGGGGACAGGGACAGGACGTTGATTGTTTATATTTTAGATTGATTTAATTTAATAATTTTGTATTTAAACAAGCCTTCAAAATAAAATATAGTTAAATCACATTATATTCATTTTTTGGTGTAACATTTTAACTCACTAGAACGTTAAATCAATGAGAACCCTGAGCTTGTTTCTTTGCAACAAGACGGTTCCATCTGGGGGGTAATAGGAGACAATGATACCCAAAGTGTGTTTCTTATGTCCAGTTTATTCCATTGTTCCGTCGTCCATTAAAAGTCGCACAAACTCGAGAGAAATATACCATAGTAAATAAAATGGAAATACCAGTAATTTAATGTTCCTTGGGCGGCCCGGCACCATTTGATCCATGGACCAGTATCGGTCCGCGGCCCGGGGGTTGGAGACCACTGGCCTAAATGATTGGGCTACAATTGCACTAATTTTAAATAATTAATACAAAGCAATTTGCCACTAGAGGTAAGAGTTAGATGCCATCTCATAACTAAGTAAATTATTAAAAATTATAATTATTAATTAAATAATTTAGAACCATCAGGAAGAACAGAAACTGACTCGGGATGGGGCTTGAAACCCAGCATCCTCTCGCTTGCCAGTTGTGCCACCCAGACCCTGGCAAGCCTTTGCTTCCAGATGTATTTGAATTTGGATATAACCTTACACTGTTAATCATGGTGTCAGCTGGCTTCTCCTAAGAATAACTCCACCAAGGTACTGTACATGTGATGGAGGATGTAGGAGTCATCCCCAGTATGTCATATATTTGCCATGATTTGTATTCTATACAACATTTAGAACCATCAGGAAGAACAGAAACTGACTCGGGATGGGGCTTGAAACCCAGCATCCTCTCGCTAGCCAGTTGTGCCACCCAGACCCTGGCAAGCCTTTGCTTCCAGATGTATTTGAATTTGGATATAACCTTACACTGTTAATCATGGTGCCAGCTGGCAACTCCTAAGAACAACTCCACCAAGGTACTGTACGTGTGATTGAGGACGTATGAGTCATCCCCAGTATGTCATATATTTGCCACAATTTGTATTCTATATAACATAAATAACTGCAAGTACAAACCATTTGATTCATGGACTAGCATCATAGAAATGACTATTAATAGAGTTATACTGAAAATATATGAGTATTTGAAAGTTTGGCCACCCTTGATTTACAATTATGTACATTTATTTATCTACTCTTACAAAATACTGCATAAAAAGATCAAATCTGAGGAAGAACATTTGCTCTCCCCAGATTTTGAAATATATTTAAGATTATATATGAAAGATTTTGTAAACATAATAAGAAAGGCAAGCAAGGTTAGTAAAATATTTTGTTTTGCTATTTGACTACATCAACATTGCACATTGTAATCTTTTCCTTCTCATTACAAGGCTTTCAATATAAATTATTTCACGTTTATAAAATCTACTCAAATACGACTGAACTAAAAATAGTCATTGATCATTTATAAATTATATTAAATATTTCAAATGTAGTTAAATTTACACTAACACATTTTAAACATTCAATTACATTCAACAAGATTAAAATTTCAAAATATAAAACAAACAAGCATTAATTATACTAAGATGTAATTTACACTACTTCTGATCAAATAATGTGTTTTATGTGCATCATTTAAAGCACTTTTATCACAAAATCTTAATGAAGTTTCCAAATGCAAAATTCTAAAATCTGTTTTAATTTAATAAACTAATCATCAAATTTTTACTTACTAAAATACCATTCTGGAAATTTTTGATAATAAATGGAATCTGACTGTAAGGATTAGATATTTGAATGAACTTCCTTATTACTAGTACCAATTGTTTAAATAAAATTATGGCTCGATCCACATTACTACGCTGCTCACAATTCAGTCAAACAATTATCAATTATGTATAATGTATGTATTTACCCATACACTATGAGTAACGCTAAAGTCTCAGTCCAGTATCCAGAAGAGTTTATTACAAATAATATTTTATGGAGAAAGATCATATTTGTCTGGGACCTCTACTAATAACATGAATTGTTTTTTTTTTCTTTTTTTTTAACTCTAGTCTACTAATAGTCAGTAGTGTGTGTCATGTAGCATGTTGTGTATATAAATTATGAACATGTGCTTATTTTTACCTTTCTAACTTTTAAACACAAATATTTATATATATTAAAACGGTGACATTTTTATAGAGCACTTGGAATAATTACTAATAGTAAAGTGGGTGATTTCATTCAAGATGGAGAGTTTCTGACTGTGGATTGATTGCATGTCAAAGAGTATTTATTACAAGAACAGACCAAGAACAGTGTGTAATCAGATGAAATATCTGAATATGTTACGTAACTGTGATTAGAGTGTGAGCAGCTCAGTAGTATGAATCGAGCCTATGTGGAATTTCATTCGATCACCATCACATCCAGATATCATCTATTAGCAATAATTTGCAGTCTCAATTTTATAAAAATTGATAAATTAAATTATCAATTTTTATAAAATTAGACAATTCTATGTTATAAATTTTATTTCATTCGATAATATAATTGTTAAGATCCCCCTAGCGGGAATATTACTTATCGTCTGTCAGACGAAAAATGCGTGACGAATTGTGACGTCACGATTACGATATTAAAAATCCGTGGATGAAGATATAAACAATTTCAAGCATGGCCGCACTTAGTAGTAGACATTTACTGAGAAAATTCATCCGTTTTCACAGACCTTCATATTCATCAGTTAAGGTCAGAATTACTTTAACTATCTTCTTAACCGATTATAATAATAATAAATTGCATAAAATGCTCTTAAATGGTAGAAATCTTCAATTTTGTGAACACAAATAATAAAAATATGCACTTTGTTTATGTTTCTGTTCAGTTTTATTTAAGGAATAAACTTAAACAAGGAGTAAACAAAAAGTTTTCTTGCTATTATGGATCGGGCTATGGCTCGGTTCGAGCACCGGACGATATGTTTGGGACCTTAACAGAGCCGTAGAGCGTACTCGTAGGAAGAAAAAAGTCAAAGGAACCGTACCTCTACGAGCAACCCTTTGCAAGATATAGNTTTTAAAACAAATACATCATTAAACAAAGTTTTAAACTTGTGTGATCTCTAAAATATAATTATACAATACTATAGCTTATTTGTACATGACAGTATATTCTGATGTGTAAATTGCATGCAAGAAAAATCCAAACTTTGAAATGTTTCTAAATTTAAAAAAAAAAATGTGATTTGAATATTGATATTTTGTTCGATAAAATTTTAGAATAAACAGTGAAACCAGTCATAATTTTAACATATTTAAGTGTTAAATTGTAAATTTGGTAAGTACTTTCAGCTTGTAATCACCTAAACTTATCACATTACATGCGCAATATATGAAATTTGCAATCAGATAGCAAAACTGTTATCACTATGATATATAAATATCACTGCAAGTTTGACAACTTCAATTGGTTTTGTCACTTGGCATCTCTTGTTTGTCAACTTCCATTTCTAGTAAAAATAAAATTTGTTTAAGACTACTAAACAATTATTATTAATCTAATTTACAATGAAATTATTTTAAGATATTTAATTATATAAACACACACTTCATAAATTTACATGAGTAAAGCTGCAAAATATCAAGAAACTTCATAAGTATCATCAAACTTCAAAAATATTATAAACATTATTGAGATTTATTAAATGTACAGAAATAAGAGAACCGTATTATAAGTATATCAGACTTATTCCATTAATGTTTGCAAGCATTAAAAGATGGCTGGATGGCTGAGGCAGTTAAGATTGAGGGACATGGGATTTTTTGCAAGATACCTGTCACAGATACTGTATGTTGGGCATAAAATTATGCTACTCCTCTGCAGTCTGCCAAATCCACACAACAAGTGGGATTATAAAAATGTTGTTAGCACCAACAGGGCAGGAGACAAAAATTTGAAAAAGAAACATGAAGGAAAATAATAATTCTCAGGTATATTTGTCTTTAGAAAGTATGATATTGATTTTATACATTTTAAGGAAGGAAAAATATTATATGCATCTGTCAGAGAAAAAAGAATGCACCTTTAAAAATGTTTGACAAAACGCTGAAGTGTAAGTTTTCTAATTGATTTGGCATAGAAAAAGTTATAGCATCTTATATTAATTTCAAAATTAATTTTCATCAGAGATAAAATAAAGTTAAACACTAATCAAACGTTCAGATTTTACAAGGTTCTATATATATTTTCAGATAGTTAAAAATTATAAATGAATTTAGCACCTGAGATACACTAGTAAAAACAATTAGGAAAGCATATGATTGACTGCTGTCATTGAGGCATGGCAAAAAACTTCCCAACACCTCACTGATAACATTTTCAAATCATTAAAGGGCCATCTTCCAGATTTCCCATTTGACCACCCATGCCTGAAGATGGTCCTTTAATCACGGTGAAAATATCAGCATTCCTTAATCTTCATCCACTGTTAAAGGAGCATTGATTAATCATATACAAAGTATAAGTCTAGTTTAAAGACTAAAACAATAAAATATAATATGTAAAAGTTAAACATACCTTCTGTTCCTAAAAATTCTTCATTATTAAATAATGATAATGATGGCTAAAATAAATAAATACATTATATAATGTATAGACATAATGAAAGTATTTAATAATAATTATGTTCAAATATAAAAACTTACATCAGTTGAATCAGAAAAATTTTGAATGTCAGCTAGGAGTTCATCTATTTCTTCCAATGAAAAACTGTTGTTATTTTCAGTTGGTGACTTATCTCCACAAGAACTAATCAAATCCAAATAATTGTTTTTAACATTGCTCAAATCTAATAAACTTTGCATTTCATTTACGGCAGTTATTTGATTGTTTTGAGAATCTTGATTTTGTATCCAATTATTCTGGTTAACCAAAGTTTGAGTGGCTGAGTGAGTTTGAATGAGAGAGTGGCTGAGAGTTTGTTTTTCATTTTCTTCATTATCATCGAGAAACTGTATTTTGCATTCATTAAATTTAATATCTGTTTGAGAATCACAATTTTCTTCAAGGTTTAGACTTCTGTTTTGATAGCAATTTGATGGATTTTTCGTGTCAGAAATGTTTTCATTTCTGTTACTTTCCCATTCTGAAAATAATCAAAGAGTTAAATTGACATTGTTGCTTCTGATTTTGCATTTCTCAAACATCATTTTTAGATTTTCAAATAGTTTAAATGAAGGCATTTCATACATCTCCATACAGTCTATTTGAACATCTAAAAGAAAATGTAACTGATAGCTTTATTTACTTTATACGATGAATAATAATTAAATAAAGAAATAAATAAAATGCAATCTTAAAATTCTAATTTTTTAGACTAATTTTCCTCAAAAATGAAACTTTTCGTTTTTTACATTAAATCTGGATTAGAATATTTAACATGTTTATATAAATATGGTCTTTCAGAAAAAATGCTACTATTTTAAAATTATTAAGCTGCAATTTGAAAAAATTGTAGACCTATACATTCCCACTGTCTTTCCTTAATCTCGAGAACAGGGTTAGATAGATGAAGATGAGACCAGAAATGAAAACCTTAGGGACAGTAGGCTTCAATTAACTATATATATAAACTTCTGAAGCAAAGCAGAAATCAAGTTATTTCAATTTTAACCTTTTCCCCTGAAAGCAGTTAATAGATGACTAGCATAACACTAGTGCTAATGGAAAAGAATGATGTTCAGGGACAAGACACTACAGTATTAATTTGAGGTAGAGAGCATATATTTTAAATGAAATAAATTAAAAATATGATTTAAAATTTTAGCCCGACATTGTGACGGTGTCACAATAAATAATTGCTCATAATTATGTTAATTATTATCTGAAAATCTTCCAAGTTTCACATTTGCCCATTACAATTTCTCAATGTATGCATGTCATGTCACATGGCACACGTCCAACTGATATTCAAATTCTTCCTATTGATAGGTTCTCTACAGGATATCCATCATCACTCCTCCTGACTACAATTCTATGGTTCCTGCAGATTACTCCTGTTGCAGATGATGAGTTATTCCAAATTGAAAAACAATATATTTAATGTTGTGGAGTTGCCATTTTCTTTTATGGCACTTCTGAAATATAGTAAACAATGAGACCTTTGCAGATGGAGGCAAAACTGAGATGATTATGAATTGTTGTACGTTGCATACTTTTCTGATAATAATTAACATAATGACAGTAATTTAAAATTGTATAATTCATTTTGAAAGAGCCTGTATTTTAAGTCAAAATAAAACAGTTTTCATATTTGAAAATATATTTCTTGAAGAATTGATAGTGAGATATTAAAATTACTTTCACTACTAATTTTTTTTACATTGGTTCTCTTATTAGAACTAACAATGACTTATTCTTGCTTTGTTACACTTCATAATTAACTTTTATATAAAATACAGTCACACCTCCAATAATGGCCACTTTTTGGAGCAAAAATGCAATGGCATGCAGTGACATTTGATGATAGGGAAGCTGTGTTTCTGTAAGAAGCTGACATCCAGGGGCAATCAGTCAATTTGCCCATCAGTGATGGCCTAGGGACCATTCGTATCGTTTATTCGATAAGCCAGTAAAAACCGTAGACTTTTCTAAATGCCTTTTATATATCACAATTACATTCCGAATTGCTAGCCACGATATAAGGGCTACAATTAAAAATAAAATAATAAAAACTTGGGTGAAATAAAATATGTGGTGGATGTACCGGTACATACCTGGTACAAAGTATTCTTCAATTGTATGAATATACTTTTAAGGAAAATTATAATTAAATAAAGCTTTGTAAAGAAACGTGCATAAAAATATAAAATATTCTTTACTTTTTTAAATCTTAAAACAATGCACTTATTCAAAAAGCTCCCTACGAGTGGCTAATGGATAGGATGGAAGACTGTTGCAGAGCATACATACACGCGGACTGCCAAATCCCCACAGTGCCGATACCGGTCAATGTCAAGTACCTCTTTTGTCGCATCACTAGTATATCTCAAAGGACGTAACAGGGCTGTTGTAGATTTTAAACGTTCCTCACCATAGCCATAAAAATCTAAATATGTTAAACTTAATAGTCCTTTGTTTCTAACTAATTCGTTTTAGGACCAAGTGTCCTCGGAAATTTCCAAAATTTACAACTTTTCAGTCACTTTCATTAAACTGGAAAAATTTCTGTCTTTATTACATCTAATATTTCAAAGAAATCAGTCCCCCTGTACTCGGCTAGAGATGGTTTGGTTAGGCTTTTGTTTAAGTAAAATTTCGGCTCTTTCGTCAGGGTTTTGTTTATGTCCCCAATTCCCTAATCGCTTAATTATTTAACTACTACTTAAGTAGAAATAAGTCGAAACTGGTTACTTTATACTCAAATATTTGTAGTCTTGGGAAAAAAGTGGAAAGACAAATTTTTATGACAAATGGATACATAAATCGTAAATATAAGGAAAATAAATTCTAGAGCTTTTTCTGGACCTGGTGCATATCTCTCATTCATTAAATTTAGTTGTAAATGACGCTGTCGAAGTAACGGTTAATTTTTTAACATTATACAAGAATTGTACACGTTTTTTCTACATCCCCTTAAAGATGGGATATATGAAATCATAATATCACTGGTTTAACATTGAAATCTGTGAGTAATATAAAATCGGAGAGCGGAATAAAAATATCAAATATTTTAATGGATTTTTTTAAACTCCTGTCAACTATACAGAACTATTGTAAAAACATACCAGTAAATTCTTATCAGTTGGGTTAAATTATAAATCTACTTGCGATTCACGTAAACTGGCAAGGGCGGCCAAATATCTAGCAAGCAGGCGGCTAACAGCCCAGAACTGGTCCCGGATAGAATTGAATGCGGTGTACATGTAGCATCCACCCAAGGTCCTAGGCTACCACCAGCTAAACTGGGTGAGGTTGGTGCTCTGTAAAGCGCATGCGCAAATCTGGCTTTTTGGATGCTGACAATACAGAGATTCCACTCCGCCACTAATATTCAAATATGTAATATCAATCTTTTTTTTTCACGTGTAGTACAGAAATTTGTAATAAGATACGTAATGCGGCTATAATAAAATATTGTGCGATTATTTTCGTATAATTAAAATTAATATGTATTTATTTTTTAGGAAATACAAGAAAGCGGCACATCCACTGCTTCTAATGACAGCATGCCACTGGATTCTATCCAGGGCCAACATAGCTTCCCTATCAACAAATATCACCAAAACGACTACTAGTCTTAACATTGTATTGAGTAACAACAATCCACAAAACCTTTGTATGTATTGTTACGGACACAACAGTGTTATAAAAAGGTTTTGTGGATTGTTGTTACAAATATCACTGCACGTCACTGGTAATTTCCATTCAGTTATATCAGTTCTATTAATAATTCTGCACTTGTTGCATTCAGACTTTCCCACATTGCATCTTATAATACAGCTCTAAACATAGGCATCAATTTTACTTTTCCAGTTGTTATATATAACAGATGGGAAGTATGGCAAGGTCAAAAAATGACCCCCTGCCAAGATTTTTACATTTTGGACTTGGGACCTTGAATTGTCAAGAAATGCAAAAAAATATAGAGGGTTTTTCCTTATGTATGGATGTTTGTGTAGTGTGTGGGGGGAATGATTTTGTTCACCCACTTTAAAGCGTAATAACTCCTGTATTGTTTGTCAAAAATTTGTGAAATTTTGCAAAGGTTTTTGTATTAGGGGGTTGACACCATTAAATTTTGGTGGTTAAAGATCAAGGGAGTGAGGAGATATCGGGGTTGTGTCTTATCTTGAGTGGAGTCAGACTTAATGAAGATTTTATTAGCATTTACAGTTTTTATAAAACTCATCTGTATCCCGAAAATGAAGCTTTATCTATTTTATAATGATTAATACTATAAAAGCTTTTAAAAATAAAATATCATAACAGATGGCACCACTACAATTTAAATTTTCTTCCAGTAAAGTTTTACAACTCATTGCTGGATTTTTGACATAAAAAATGAATTATATTTTATATTATTTTATAAATATAACATCTGCACATTGACAGAAGAGAATTAGTATGGGAATTAATTAAATTTTGCTAATGAAATGTAACTTACTTTTAAGTTCTGCAAAGATATTTGTTTCATTTTCCACTGACTGATTTTCAGGTCTCTGTATTAAGAAATAAACAATGAAATACACTGTGACAAACTCAAAATTTGTGGTAAAACTTAAAAATTACAACTTACATTATCAGAGGTGATGACATTTCCATGAAAAATATTGCCTAGATGATTCTCAGAAAGAGAAGCATCCTGCAATAATACATCATTATTTGTCAAGACATCCGTCTGAAGATTATCTAAATCTTGCTCGCTTCCTGAACTCGTATCTGTTGAAAAACCGAATTGCTTGTCAATAACTGGCATTAAATCTAAATTTCTGAGTCAGAAGGCAGAGGCGATAAGCTATATTGTTTTTACTTTCAGAACTGTTCATTTAGATATAATTAGACTGGTTACTTAAGTGAAGACTGTATGGAGATTAAGTAGCATAAATATACTTAAGGGCATATGCAGAGGGAGTGCTTATGGTGCTGCAGCACACCTTGATACCAATGCAATCTTTGTTTACTTTAAAATAAAAAATAAATATAACCAAGAATGACCCGAGAGGTGCAAACCATCCTGGGTTCCAGGAATTAGAAACCTCTTACAATGTTTATTCCTTTACTTCAATATAATAATTTTCTATAGAATCCCAATACGTATTTTGTCCTTGGCCTCCAATTTCCTCTCAGCAGCACTGATGACTTCAGTTAGATAAGGTTAAATAATTAAAATAATTCTAAAGTAATTGTGAACAATATTTACAAAAAACAATAAGGGACATGTGCCTTGATCCCTCAAATCTGCCTTAAACAATACCCATATTCTGAAAATTGTGGACACAACACTGAATTCACCAGTAAGAAAGTAAAGGCATCATAAAAGTTTTATTCAATTAGTAAAGAAATAAACAAAACTAAATTTAGAACTTACCATTAAAATTTATCAATAATGCAGTTATATTTTTTTCTCGGTTTTTTGTTATCATCAGTTGTAAATCACCTTTTGTTAATGTCTCTACTAATACATTTCTGCCAGTGATGTGCTGTCCATGGAAGAGCTTTTCTCCTATTTTCTAAAATATAAATACATATTGTGCGATTATTTTCATATTTTAACATACTTTGAATTAATTAAAATTAATAACAAACAACTTTTCCTAACCTGTTACCGGTGCAACCTTCTTCTATAAAAATCATAACCAACAAAAATTACATAATTTAGATGTGTAGTAATTTAGCGATGCTGGCTAAACAGTACAGTAGAACGCTCATAAGCCTTACTAAGGCTTGAGCTCGATAAAAATTTCTGATGGACTGTAAAAGGAATGGAATTTTGCCTATGTCCTTTTTCCTTATTCGACTTCCACCTGGCAGCGAGTCGCTACTTTCTAAGGTCAGGCAGATATGCCTAAACAGGGCCATCTGGATAACGAGGAAGACCGTATATACAAAAATAGCAGAAATAATTCAAATTGAGAATGTTATGTTCAAAATGAACCCAAATGGTTTATGGCTAAAGAATGCTAGGCTAGTCGCTGTGCAAGAAAGGCTTACTTACAGCTTAAGGAAGAGATATCACAAGAAAGCAAGGTGGATACTAAAGTTCCAAACGTCTAACAATCCTACTCTCTCAGAGTTCCCATTTATCTTATGGGATGATCTGCAAGTACCAGCATTTGTCGAAGAAGTCTTGAGCTTAGGGCCAAAATTTGTATCCCCTCCTAGGAGAGATGATATAAACATCATACCAGACGTAGAGGCACTATTGATAGGCTTACTGGACATGAATAAGAAATATTATAGGTAGAAGGTCACACATATAATTAAAACAGGTAAGGAACAAAGTGAAGTAAAATGATTAAGAACAAAAATTTGGTGCATACAACAGTGGATGAAACAGAATGGAACCACATTAGTTAGGGCCGACAAGTCCAAGGCTATGGTCTTTATGAAGTGCAATATGTATGACCGATTGTTATCGGAGCACATTGAGCATACCAGTTCTGACGTTGTACAAAGAGATACGGTGGATAAACTACAAACTAGAGTTAAGCACTTCAGAAATACTAAACTAGCTAAGAGCCTGAAAATGAGAAATATCATGGTCGATTCGCCTGATACACCGAAGCTGTTTGCCTTTGAAAAAATCCACAAAGTTGGGCAGCAACTTCACCCTGTTATATCAATAGATAAGGCCAGAGTGCCGACACATATATTAGAGAAGTTCGTCCACAAGCTTATCACGCCCTACTTGGAAGATTATCCATACATGCTGAGTGACCCTGTGAACCTACTAGACACCCTCAGGCAGATCACCGTACCACCTAGGTTTCTCACAGTATTGGATTTCAAGTTGCTTTTCCCATCAATCCTACTCCCGCCTGCCTTTTGCACCATCAGAGATTTACTACTCTCTATCCTCAACGATAATACGTTACACCAGCAAATTCTTGAGATGGCGCATCTTTTGTGTTACAATTCTTTTTTCCAGTTCAAGAGTAATGTGTACATGCAAGGAAGAGGAGTCCCTATGATGTTGTGCAGGTGGTGTGGGACGACCTTAGCTTCGAGTTGTCTAATCACCATCTCTCATAAGTCCAGTCTCTGGGGACTTATGTGAGATGGTGATTAGACAACTCGAAGCTAAGGTCCTCCCACACCACCTGCACAACATCATTTTATATAAGAGATATGTTGACAATATTATCATATAGTGGAAAGAAATACCGGACTTCAAGGCTTTTGTCGACACAATGAATGATAACACATATGGATTAACCATAGAAATAGAACAAGTGCACCGGACGAATGTACACTTTCTAGATATTGACATCAAGGTAGAAGAGTCCATAATCCAAACTGCAGTGTGGGTTACTGAAAGTTAGGATCAAAGGGCACATACATTCCAGTAGGGTCATGTGACCCACCACAATATAAGGTTGCGCCATTTAAAACCAATAATTAAGAGAGCACACACGCACTCTTCTACTAAGCAAGCCCTACAGTCAGAGCTAAGGCTTACATATCAAATAGCCTCTGAGCACGGATACAGCAAGCTCATATGCAAGTTAATACATGGTTATCAAAACCCAGCTCAAGACCTACCACAAATGAAGGAACAACAAGATATGGATAAGATCATTCCAGTCACTTATAATCTGTATATTAGAGGGATGTATAGCAAGATAGCTAAAAAGAACCACATACATATCTCCTATAGAAGATGCACTTCGATATTTAACATCCTAACCAATGGAAAAGATCCACCAGATAAAGATAAGCTGTCAGGGGTCTACACCATACCGATTATAGATTGCAGATGGGATAGAAACCTAGTGTATGTGGGCTCCACCAAACGATCCTTAGAGATTAGACTGAAAGAACACGCTGTGGATATTCAGAAGCAAAGGAACACGACGGCTCTGACAATTTACATGTCTGATCCAAATATAAACCACGAATTTAAGAAAGCCAGAATTATCCACACCACATGGCACATACACCACATCAACTGGCTGGAGGTGGCCAGCATATACTTAGCTAACCTTAAGGATAATCAATGCATCAATCATAAAGAAGAGATTGCGCTATCAGTAGCATGGCAGGCACTTATGAACAGTAATTTATGATAGCTGTATTGGAATGGACTGCGCATGACAAACAAAGACATAAACAGGAAGCATGCATTTGAATGTACATATTTTTGAATTTGATGTTTAACGAGCTGCATTTCCATCAGAGATTCAAAAATACCTGAAGAAGAACCATCGTTGGGGTTCGAAAACGTTAGTAAAGAGCTATTTTTGTTGGTTACAATTTTATAGAAGAAGGAGAATGCACCGGTAACAGGTTAGGGAAAGTTGTTTCTTAGTATTCTCCGGGGTTGAGATAAAGATGTGTACAGTAATTAAAATTAATATTTTATTATAACTGCATTATGTATCTTATTGCAAAATTTTATACTACATGTGAAAAACAATGATAAGATTGCTATTGTATATTTGAATGTAAATTTGTATATGCATATTCCCAATGGAAGCACTGTATTGTTGAATATGGGATAGTTTCCACGGTGAAAATATTTGAATCGTGTAAAGCAGCCAGATTATACGCATTTGTGCATGCACTTTATAAAGCACCAACCTTGCGGTTTAGCTGGTGGATGCTACACACCAAAATATTGTATAATGTTTCCAATCATTCTATCCAGAGCCGGCACAGCTTCCCTATCATCAAATGTCACCACACGCCACTGATTCCTGCAAGCTTTTTCAGCCTTTCCCCCAATAATTATTGTGTCTTTCCATGCATACATTCTTCAGTTTATTCAATGGCTTTAATTAAAAATATTTAAAATAAACTTAAGCTTGTACATTTTTAACAATTATGCAATGAAATCATTCAGCAACTGATTATTTAGAAACTTTCACACTTAAACACTTAAACATTTTTTGAAAAGTATAGACTTGGATATTAACCAATGAGCATCAGCCACTGATCACTTAGTTGTGGCAAGTTACTTTCATTTTCTTCCTCATTTACCATTATAAATGTTATTGCCATTAAGCAATCTTGGGCTCGAAAGGCACTCCACAGCAGATATTTCTATGATTTTGTTGGCAAAACTGAATCAAACAGCTGGTTAGCTTGAGAATGTCTATATGGGGATACAGAAGAGTTCATGATTGCCATACAAGATCAGGTCATAAATACTAAAAACTACAGAAAACACATACTCAAAGATACAACACTCACAAGTGACACATGCAGAAAATGTCACATCATGCCAGAAACTATACAACACATCACTTCTGGTTGCAAGCTCATGGCACACACAATTATTTACATAAACATAATCAAGCAGCAAATATAATACACCAAGAGCTTGCAAAGAAACACAGATTATTAGACATCCAAGAACCATACTACAAATACATTCCACAAACAAAAAGAAACAAGTTGGCTTGACAGCTATATTGGGCTTTTAATTAATTCCCATTGACACAATCACAATATAGGCTATACATAGAACAACTCACTATAACAAAATTGACAAATTTTCAATGCCCAAGAAATAACAAAATAATGCTTCATGTCTTTTCATGTTTCCCTCTCCTCCTCCTCCTCCTCCTCCTCCTCCTCCTCTTTTATGGAGCTCACAGCACATGACAAAAGAAAAAAAAACAATGAAGGACAAGTAACACGAAAATACAAACGAACCTACTCACGACACTTTTTCTACTGCATATAAACAGTGAAAAAAAAGACTAATGTGTTCGGACGAATCTCCCACCAATCCTTTCTTCCTTGAATATGTTGTATCTCGATGTTAAAGTGTCATTGGTTGAATGGAATTAGATTGCTATCTCTTAAGCCTTATTCCTGTCCTGGGTCTTTCTCACACTCACTGCCTTGATCTTGAATCGTTCACAGGTGGCCAGAACACAGCAAGCAGGAACAAGAAAAAAGATGCCTACTATCTGTGGGTCACGACCTTTTATACCGTGCCAGGCAAATATCATCCCCATGTGACTTCTATTGGCCAAATTGGCTGCCAACATAAGGTGAACTAGAAAAAGATGGTACAGTACCACAAACAAAAATGAAAGGGTCAAGGGAAAAATCAAAATGCAAAAGTACATAGTTGCAAATCTCTACACAATACACACAAAATATACTATGACAGCCATAATCACAGATAAAACAATTTTCCACAACAGACCAGACATCACACTCATTGGCAAACACAATAAAATCACATACATTATAGACACATCCATTCCAAACACTCACAATATACAAAACACATGCACTGAAAACATCAGCAAGTAAGAACTTGCCCAGGAAATAAGGCATGTGTTGGAGGATGGATTAAGTGCTTATTGTATCTGTCTCTCTCTCCTGTACAGGTGTCATATCAAAAGCCTGGGATCATTGTAATGTTTCCCAACATTACAATTGAATGTTACAATTGAATTGTACATTACACTACAGAAGGCCACTATATTGAGTACATGTCATATTGTTAGGATATTCTTGAATGCAGACAAGCACACTGAGAATTATTTAATTTTTGTCTTGTTTTGATTGCTATGCCTTGACTCTGATCTGGCATAGTACACAGCACCCGGTGCCAACTCAGTATAATTCACTAAACTCAATGTAATAATAATAATAATTAATTAATTAATAATAAGAAAACTCACTTTAATGTAATCAGCCAAAAAATCCAAACAATCAACAATTTCAAAGTTGTGCTGATGTATTTCTCTTGTATCATGTGATGCATCACTGACAGTACTTCCACCTTTAGCAAATAAAAAAATTTTGCATCAAAACTGAATAATATATTAAATAACTTTAGGCTTTTCATAGAAAAGTGCTTGATTACATTTTAAGTAAAATAAGTAATGGGATATAAGTTTGCACTTCACACCAACATAAACTATTACTATAACACTTACGTGCAGTGGCATACAGGAACTGTAATGCCACTGCACGTAAGTGTTAAAGTAATGGGATAAAGTAGCTAAGGTAGTTTTTTTTAAAAATAAACCTAAAAAATAGTTATATTCCCCCAAATTACTTTCTGAATTATTTTAGCTTGTTTAAATGAAATCAATTCCATTAATTTTTTCAGAAAAAATACTATCCATTCAACTTATCTTGGCAATAACTTTTATTTCTTAGCATTACATCTTGGTATTACTGCTGATAAACTTTGTATTTACAAAAATTAAAGTTAACTTCATACAGGCCTGTTAGTGAAAATCATGAAATTTTGTAAATAAATCACACCATCGACATCAATAACAAGCAAAAAGAACAAATTTCATTGCAGCATATACTATAAGTGTTTTAAAGCCATCTGAGACCCACCAATTTCCCAAATTTTGATGGTTGTTATATACCTTTGTATTTGTGAGAATATAGACTTAGCATAAACTATGTTGTAATATCAATTTTGTCAAATATCTCTCAACTTTTACACCTAGGAGATATACTCCCAGATGTGAAAGTTCTCAGCGTGGATAACAATGCTTTCACGTGACCTTCTGACCTGCTGTCCTGATTTCATCATTTTAATATAATATCAAATGGGCAGTCAAGAAGTCGTTGCCAGTTCCTCTAGGATTTAAGTCATCGAAATCTTCCTGTGTCAGTGCCAATCATACTCTATCAGATTTTCACATTACCCTCAACTGTGCCTAGAACTTTCCTGGATCGATCTAGAACTTTCTTGATCCAGACCTGTCCCGAACAATCCAAATCCAGACAATGTCAAGACCATAGACATCAAAATAGTCCTCACAAAATCTAAATCATGAAGCATCACCATCAACACAGGTACTTCACGACTCGCAAATAGGCCTACTTGTAAACTCTCTCCCTTGCGACCGCTAGATAGATAGGCTAAGTCGATATGACATGATATATATTGTATATTGTATCTATGCCTTTTTGTAGAAATTAAACAGTTACTTAGTTGTTGACTTTAGTGTCTAAGTACTTTACTTCTGTTGGGCTGTCTCTCAGTCTCCATCTGGAACCCAATCACTTTCTCATGCGGCCGCTCGAATGAACTACTTTTTAACCCAAACTAAACTCGCTGTCGTGGCTCCCATGTCAACCGAGACATGGTGAGGGTCAGTCCTGACAAGGCATTAAAGAGATGCTGACCCTCTGGTCACAGTTTACAGTTTACAGTTGTGAAAGAGACGGCCTTACCAATACGTATAGCCCGGGGAAGAAGGGGGGAAAGGGGGAGGAGGAGGAGAGGAATGGGGAAAGAAAAGGAAGAGGAAAAGGGATCACATGAGGATGGCTGGGAACCGAGTAATAGTGGTACAATCAAAATTGCTAGACTGACATAGCAGTCCAGATATTATAAAGCAGATACAATAATCAGAGGTACATAGCACAATTAAACAGAAAATACACTTTAGAGCGGGTTGAACATATATATGCCCTTTCAATTAGCCAAAATAAAACTGTACAGAATAAAGCAGATCCCGACGTTGGCATGCAGGTGTTAGTGACATAAACTAAGGCCGCCTGAAGTCCTGGGTGAAGAATCGCGGCGCTAAGAATATAGACCATGTGATAGAGAGATTGCCCTCCACACACAGTTAGCTGAGCACCTTAATTTGGCGAATAAAGTCATTGAATTTTGTGAAAATGTCTTTGTTGCTGAGAAGAAGACTTGCCGGACATGGCCACACTTCGTTCTCCTGCATCACAGCTTGTATCAGTTGTCTTCGTTTGTTCTCGTACAGAGGACAGCGGAACAGCATGTGGTCGCTGTCATCCCTTTCATTAAGCGAGCAATGGCATTGCCCATTCCCTTTGCCGAGGAAACGGGCCAGATAACCTTTAAAGTTTCCGTGGCCCGTCATGATTTGCGTGAGTTCATAAGAGGGGGTGAAGTGGTCAAACCTTGCCCTGTTTGCCAGCAGGGGAAAAAAGCAGGGGAAAAAAGCAGTAGGTTGTCCTCCCAGTGCTGCTGCTGTCCCAGTTTCTTTGCCATTGTTGGTGAATATAGCTGAGCAGCTGATTTGCCATCCAACTGTAAGGCACTTTCGAATAGGCGCTGGTACCAAGGTTACGTGTAGCCTTTTTGGCAAGGAAGTCCGCACGATCGTTTCCCCTGTTGCCTGAGTGCCCTTTAGTCCAGGCGAGGGTGATGACTGTGGATCCATTGAGGTGGTTGAGGGCGTTGATAGTATCCCTTATAATGGGGAGGTTGACATTAAGATTTTGTATCTGGTGCAGGGCTACCTTGCTATCGGTGAAAATGTATACAGCCTTGTTCTTAAAGGTTCTTTGTTCCTTCTTTATGTAATGCAGGGCCCTTAAAATAGCCAAGGACTCTGCCTGGTTATTGGTGCAATGTTCATCCATTTTAAAGTAATGCTGGTGAAGGATTTCCTCCGCCCTTCCATACACTACAAACGATCCCCCAGTCCCACTACTTGACCGGGACCCATCCGTGTAAATATGGAGCCCAGAAGGAGGAGGGGTAGTACCATTCATCAAAATATCACAGCTGAGACCCAACGCCGGGTGAATCGGGCTGCTGCTATCAATTTTGTCTAGCCCTTTCTCAAGGAGGTAATTGGCCAGATTCCCAATGGTGTCCCCATCCACCAGATGATTTATCTTAGTATGAAACTGATCGATGGTGATTTCGTTATAAAGGAGGTGCTTCATGTTATGCCTCAAGTACCTTTCCTGGATATAAAAGTCAATGGGGAGTAGGTTTGAGATGACAAGAAGACCGTCTGTTGGGGCCGTTTTGTATGCCCTGGCTATGTACAAAGCAGAGAGCCTTTGCAAGGAGAGGAGCTTCTTCCGGGTGTGAACCCTGTTCGTGCATTGCCCCCAGACTTAACAGCCATAGGTGGCTATCTTCTGTGTGACGGCGATATAAGTTGTTTTCCTTGCTTTGTAGTTAAGCCCCCATTTGTTCCTGCAGATGGTAGCCAGGGCGCTGGTGACTGCTGTGGCTTTCCTGTAAATGTAATGGATGTGGTCATTCCAAAGTAATTTATGATCTATAATAAGCCCCAGATACTTAAGGGACGAGGTGTTCCCAATTCTATGCCCATTGATCCGGATCGAGGGGCCTTTGCTGAGGGGGTTCGCCTTGGGGAAGACTATACTTCTGCATTTACTATAGTTTATGTGTAGGTTTACACGCTCACTCCACTGATGCACTTTTGATAAAATTTGGTTCATGCTGTCCTGGAGCTTCCCTTGATTCGGGTGTGACATGACAATAACTGTATCGTCGGCATACCCTTGGATCATTGTGTTGTACGGTGACTCCTCTTGCAACTGCAGAAGGCTATTGTAAAGAGTGTTCCACAGAAAAGGTCCCGATTACCCTCTGGTCACATATATATATATATATGTATATACGGTGGGTGATGGGTTAACGAACAGTTGGGACTATGAACAAAACGGACACTTTTGTGAAAGTTTTTGACACATAGGATAATGAACACTTCTGTGAAAGATTTTTATGTTCAGATAACAAACACAAGAAGAAGCAACATAAAATAATGAATACCAATTGGTCTTCCCTTGTCTTCAGGCAACAATTTGAAACTTTTCAGAGCATGAGAGACATCAACACTCAACCCCCTATATACTGATTGGATAGTATTCCTTCAAACTTTGGAACTCTCCCTTGTAATTCCAGCCTTTTATTTTTCTGACAGAAACAATTTTTTATAATATTCGTGAGACTGTCAGTTCGGGCACTCGTTAAGTTTTGCATCAGTTTTTATTTCCGAAACATGAGAGTATAATAGCAAAAGTAAAGAGTGGGCAGAAGATGTCTGATGTTGCTGGGAACTATGACTTAAACAGGTCTACAGTAGACTGCAGTTCAATCTTATCTAAGAAAGATACAGTATAATCAAGAAGACTCGAGCAGCTAAAGGAGTAACAAAAATCACATCTGGGAAATACAGAATATTGAAATGCTCATAATGGAACCCGAAATGAATCTGACGACAGAAGAGCACCAAGAAACTTGGCGAGATATGTTTTCTTCTGAAAAAGAGGATTAATGCCAATATCTGCTATTAAAGATCTTTTGAAGAAGTGGGAGGACAACGGTCTTAGAATTACATCCAAACCAGGTTGAGGTTAATAGGCCTAGGGATCTCTACAACTACAATGCTATTAATTACTTCTGAAAAATCCTGAAGAAGAGAGAAAAGCAATCAATGTTAGACAGTGTGTAACGCGTATAAGATATATACAGCAGGTGACAAACGTTTTCAAACTATCTTGCAGTTCTTCCTTGGGTCAACTAGTTTCTTTGAAACTATGTTGTCATAAATGATATCACAAGTTACAACATCACAAAATCATCAGAGGAAAACAGTCAAGTGACTACTGAAATATCATCTGATGTCACATTGAAAGTGACAACATAGACTAGTTTGCACTTAGCCTTAGACAAAGGAAAAGATGTTTGATAAGTATGTAACTGTAAGTTAAAAATCATTTCCACATAATTGACTCATTTTATAACCAACACCCAATTTAAAATTCAAGTTTTAAGCATGTTATTCATGGATTATCTACATGAAAGTACAGTAATTATAGTGTCAAGATAATTTCTAGTTTTATTAAAATCTAATAACTTACTTGTAACAAGGATATTTTCATTCCACAAAGGATTACTTTTCTGCTCCACTTGATTTTGCATTTCTTGCACATTTTCGTTCAGGTTTTCTGATACATTAGGTGGACTTGTATTGTCTATTTGATTACTATAATTGTTGTTATTTTCATGAGCAGAAGCTTGCATTTGGACTTCGTTGCTTTCATTTCCTACAAAAATTACAATCTTTAGGTTTGGGTTTTTGGATTTTCAAATTACTTTTTGCTATAAATGAAAACAAGCTTCATGTTTTGAATAAAAAGTATATAAAAATATTTAAAATTCTTTTCTGTTTTGTATCAAATTTAAATAGAAATAAAGTGTGTCCTATTCGTAGTAAGAAGTAACACCCCCACCGGCTGTAATGAAAGGACTGCTGCTGTTAGAAAGCTTCCCAGGGAGGGGGTTAAGATAAGTTATTATAGGTTTTTTTTTTTAAGGAGGGAAGAGGGAGTGTAGTCAGAGTCGAGAGTGGAGTGAGGAAGTAAGTGGGACCCATTACAAAGTAGTCGAGCAAATAAAAATTAAGGAAGAGCACAGAACAAAGATGCGAGGAACTTAAGAAATAAATGAAGAAAGATTGCCACAAACAGCATCAAGTCTGAAAGATATAAAATTAGTAAAGACTCATTTAAAAGTTCCAAGTCTTATACCATTTAATCTCTGTAACAAGAAAGGGTATTATCATACCATTGTCGGGCCTTTTATGTTATCATGCATAAAACATTTCAATATCTTTCTACATCCTTCAGGATCATTCATGAACTAATTAAAATTTTGTTCTGTCACACTTTGTTTCATGTCTTTGTCCTGTTACGCCCAAGAATGATAGATTAATATCCACATGTAACTGGATAATACAGTTCACTTGTTTATTTTATTAGCTTGTTGCTAAAGGTTTAATGCTTTTTTTAGCTTACATTTTCATTCTACCTATCTCACAAAAGCATTTGAAAATATAAACATATCCAATTTAGACAAAATTTAACAAACAAAATTGGAAAAAAATCAATTCTATGCATGGAAAACTAGAACTACTGTATTATAAGTTATAATACTTATAGGAAAAAAAATCAATTAAACATCTAAAAAAGAAATATATATATTTTTTGGATGAATCAACTGCATGAACTTAACATTACTTTCAATAATAATTATTTCCACTAGTTTATAAGTGACAGACAATTTCTAACAAAGTTAAATTTATTAATAAAAACTATATACAACAGAAATTTTACCTTTATAATCAAGTTTTATTAGTTAGATCTAAAAACATTAAGAATAATACTTTCCAAAAACAAAATTTAAATTTAAATTATTTCTAAGGTTACAATTAATTTAAACTGTATTGTTCTTTTGGAAATTACAGTGGGTGATCAGTTAACAAACAGATCGGACAATGAACACTTTTGTGAAAGATTTTTATGATCGGACAACGAACACTTCGCTGAACAAACACAAGAAGAAGCAACGTAAAATAACGTATACTGATTGGTCTTTCTTTGTCTTCAGGCAACAATTCGAAACTTTTCGGAACGCAGGAGACGTCGACATCAACGTTCTACCCAGTATATACTGATCTGAAAGTATTCCTCCAAACTTTGAAACTCTTCCTTGTAATTCCAGTCTTTTATATTTCTGACAGAAACAATTCTTTTACGTTTTCTTCTGAAAAATGCGGATTTATGCTGATATCTGCTATTAAACATCTTTGGAAGAAATGGGAGGATGTCAGAACAACGGTCTTAGAATGGCATTCAAACCAGGTTGAGGTTAATAGGCCTAGGGATCTCTACAACTACAATGCTATTAATTAATTCTGAAAAATCATGAAGAAGACGGAAAAGCAATCGACATTGGCCAGATTCTTTAACCCTCACAAACGGAAAAAACATGACTAATAAAAATGCAAGACCGTGTATATATGTATTTTTATTATTACATATGAATAAAGATAGTAAGAAAGTGTATATTTTTTTATTTTTTGAAGGTCTCCAGAATGAATTAATCAAATTCCCATAGAAACCTATGGTAAATCAATAATTGCTTAACGAACAATTTGCATAGCGAGCAAAGTCTTGGAACCGATTATGTTCGTTAACCGATCACCCACTGTTTTTTCTTAATGGCTTCTAACTCGGGTGCCAAACATGCAGTCTATCATCTGTTCTTGCATTTGAATGTTCAAAATTTTGTTTTGATAACAAGCAGTTGAATACTACAGGTACTTATTACTTATATCTTATGTCTGACAAGGAAACATTGGTGGATTGATGATCCTTTCCTAAAGAAATAATTTGCTACTTATATCTTCTTAATGATAAATGCAGAGAATTATTCATTTTAGATAAAATTTATAAATAAATCAATCAAACGTTTCAATTATTAAGGACAGATGAACATTGCTAAAATGAACATTAAATTAGCTTGAACTACACTACTGTCAGTGCTGTAACTAGGCAGGTGCACCCATTCGAGGTCCACTTGGAAGGGGCCCAAAATGCATGTATTTGTTTTATTATTTTCCCAAACCTAATTAATTAAGTGGCCTAAATGCAAATTCTTGCACAGGGTGCAGGAATGGCAAGTTACAGCATTGACTACTGTTTATGAAAATTGCAACTAAATCACACCGACAACAATAACCAGCAAAAACAACAAAAATTTTTACTGTAACTAATGTTTTCTTCCATATACAGTTGAACCTGTCTATCTCAAACATGTTTATCTTGAAAACCTCTATCTCAAAATTTATTATTTCCACAGCATTTTTCAACTAAATTCAATATAGTTTCCACATTTATCTCAAATAATTTTCTCCCGAAACATCTTTATCTCAAATTATGCACTGAAGTATCAATTACAAATTCAAAGTTCTGTGACTTTATTTTGAAGTCACATAGCTTTGAATTTGAGTCAATGACTTTGTCTTTGATGTACAAAGGTATTACAGTGACAATGTCCATGCTCTCTGATGCAATAAGCACACCTAAAAGAGTTTAGGCCTAGGGGTCAAAAATAAAAACAGTATTACGTATGCCTAATGGAAAATAGGCAAGGAAAATAAACACAAGAACGAAGCAATTGACGGCGATTGCTTTGTTCTTGGATCATCTCTTGATACCTGGCCAGTGCAAGAATCATATCTCCCGTGTCTTGCAGGTACAGTACAAGGATAGCCTCTTTTGTAGTAACAAGTGCAAAGTTTACCTGTCCACATCTGTCACATACTGTACACAGATCACTTCTTTCCTTCCAGCTCCATTTCAATTTTATTGTGATATTGTGAGGTTTGCCAATTGGGTGAAAAGTGTCGTGACAATTGTGCGGTCAGCACTGTCATGTGGGAGTGGAAAAACTCACTGAGACAGGTTCTCCATCGTAAACTGTTTAATAAATATAGAAATTTCTCTTACAACGAATCCTTAAAAAGGCGTAACACCTATCCAAAGTCAAGAAACAAGTCCATAACACAAAAAGTTCAACTGTTTTGACGGTAGTTTTTCTTCCATCAATGGTGGCATGAAAACATTGGCTCCGAGGTGCACAACACTACTTGGACCGAGGTCTTCTAGCTATAAGGTGGACTTTAGTGATCTTGATGGCACAGTAGGGTGAAGACAAGTCCTCCAAATATCTAACAAACTCTCGTGGGAGAAAATGTCCAGATGACAAGAATCCCGGAGAGGAGCGCTGCGAACCAAGTACTTCACATCTTTTTTTCGCACAGTTTTTATAAGTTTCTTTTGTGTCCCAGACCGAACATTCTGATAGGTCGACGTCGACTCTCCCCCTTTCTGATTGGTTTTTCACTCATTACAAAAGGTAACAAGATCAGAACCCAGACCAACTGACAATTCGATCCCTATCAAAGATGTTCGATCTTAGAACCTACATTCACCCATTGTTTTAACCCGAGTAGTTCAACTTTCTTAGAAATTTTTACAGGCATGTCCTTTTATGGACATAAAATATTCATTTTTTGTTTGATGATTTCTTTTTACAACATAAAATAATAATAATTATTATTAATTTTTTTTATACGAAATTAAAACCATTTTCTGTGCATGAATTTCGATCCACTTCCGGAGCTTCACAATATGACAAAGTTGCTCAATGTCCTAGTTAAAATACAATAGAATTCACAATGAAATAAAACTAAATTAATAACTTACTATTCAAATCTTTCAATTGATAATATATTATATTGTCTTCTAACAATATCTTTTCAAGAAAATCTTTGACTTCAAGTTTGTTTAAAGCATTTCTAAACCTGTCTTTAGCCTTTGTATACTTGTTTGGGTCATTTTCATTATAGTTTTCCTTCATTATGCTCCAAGCCTGTAATTAAACATATTTTAAACAAAAATGTAATTTATATATTTTTATGGTTACACAAAGAAATGATTCATCAATTTAATATTTGTTGAAATTTAATACAATATTGTGAGACATCATTTTAAGTAACAAGTTGTAACAACAAATAAAATTTTATTCAAATTGACAATGTAATTTTTACTAGCCACAACACAACCCATGATGTCAGCTGAGGAGCATACTCTTGACAAACACTCAGCATAACACAAAAATATTAAATAAAAAAATCAGAAAGAGGTGTACAAAGGGTTCTAAACAACACAAAAGGTTTAATTTACAACAAGAATAAAAAAATAACTAAATAATTAAAACTAATTTAATAATAATCTAAATGTTAATATATAAAAGGATTTTACCAATAGAAAGCAAAAGTGTGGGCTAGAAAAATAATTGGGAGAGAACAAAGAAGTATCCCAATCCTTTGCTTGATTAAGTCCATCAAAAAATATTAATAAGTGCCAGTGTTACAGAATAATTTCTTCGATCTTGATCAAAATGAGGACATCGTCTTCTCACCAAAGAATTTCCAAAATCCAAAATGTCTTACTTTGTATTAAACCTTCTCGGCTTCTACAATTGTGAAGATTTCTCACCAAACAGCCCTCATCTTACCAATGCATTTCATAAAACTGTAATCTGCTTTCCATTCTTGTGTGAAGATTAGTCAAAAAGTGCCTTTTTGAGGCTCCTATATATACTGTCCACAAAATCTTGTGAGATATGAAAGTGTTTTTGCAACCCACTAAGGCAAACATCCCCCAAAATAAGAAATATGTGCAGTAAATGTTAAAAACACAATTTATCATGTGATGTAACCAGTGGTGATATTCAGCGGGTTCGCACAGGTTCGGCCGAACCCGTTGTTAACATTTTCAAAGTTTTCCAAACCTTGTTAAACACATGTAACATTTCTCGATGGTTTTGATTCTTTTAAAAAATATATTAAAATATACGTATTATACTCTGTAACACTACTAAACTAGAGCCTTCCGATGCACCATTTGAGCGAAAAAAAATTAAGGAAAAATTTTCTGTTAGCGAACCCTTTGTTAAATATTTCGAATATCACCACTGGATGTAACCATGTATAGGATCCATAATGGATACTTCGAAAGTAACCCAAAATACACTCGTTGGCCGAATAATTACAAAATATCGCAAATTGTACAAAAAAAACTCAAGATTACTTATTACCCAAAAATTTCTTTATAACTAATTTTTAAAACTAACTTATACTAAAGAAAAGCAGAAAACAGATGCTAGGGGGCAAGAAGTATCAAATATAATGGATAGAATAGAATACCGAATAAAGAACTCTGGTTTTATAAACATCTTTCTGTTGTCACGAGGGACCACGTGAAAACTTTCTCGGATACAATTCGTACTTCCGTTCACCTTTCCTTAGTCCAAGAGGGTTTCTATAAATCTCTAGTCCTAGTTGTTCATCACCCGTCTGAGCTCAAAACTCCTCAAGTTGGGATGCAGACTTCAACACTATAATGTTGGTCCACGAAGTTCAGGAGTCTCTCTTCCTCCAACTTGGCTTCACCCGTCTCTGAGGTACTCGGCAATTCTCCCTATTCTCCTGTTTCTCCTCTCACTACAAGGATCAGCCAAAAAGTTACTTTCTCTCCGTGCGTGCCCTGGGGAAACATCACATTTATTTTTTGATGATTCCAGGAATATTTATAGCCTCACTTCCAAGGGGAAAGAGTAATTAAGAAGAATAGAAGGTTTTAAAAGGTGGAAAGAACAAAAAAAAAATATGCTAAAGATTACAGCCCTGTATGAAGTTAACTTTAATTTTTGTAGATGCAAAGTTTATCAGCAGTAATGTAACCAAGATGTTATGCTAAGAAATAAAAGTTATTGTCAAGATAAGTTGAATGGATAGTATTTTTTCTGAAAAAAATTAATGGAATTGACTTCATTTAAACAAGCTAAAATAATTCAGAAAGTAATTTGGGGAAATATAACTATTTTTAAGGGAGTTTTTTAAAAATAAACCTAACTACTTTATCCCATTACTTATTTTATTACACTTAATTTTACTTAAAATGTAATCAAGCACTTTTCTATGTAAAACCTAAAGTTATTTAATATATTATTGAATTTTGATGCAAAACTTTTTTATTTGTTAAAGGTGGAAGCACTGACAGTTATGTATCACATGATACAAGAGAAATACATCAGCACAACTTTAAAATTGTTGATTGTTTGGCTGATCGTATTAAACTGAGTTTTATCATAATTAATTAATTATTATTGTTATTACGTTGGGTGTAGTGAATTATACTGAGTTGACACCGGGTGCTATGTACTATGCCAGGTCAGTGTCAAGGCATGGCAACCAAAACAAGACAAAAATTAAATAAGTGTGTCAGTGTGCTTGTCTGCATTCAGGAATTTCTTAACAATATGACATGTATTCAATATAGTGGCCTTCTGTAGTGTGATGTATGTGTTTCTATTCAATTGTAATGTTCCCAGGCTTTTGTGTAGTGTGTGTGGTAAGACATCTGTAGAGGAGAGAGCGACAAGTACGATAAGCACAAGATCCATCCTCCACAGACGCCTTATTTCCTGGGGGAGTCCTGTGTACTTGCTGAATTTTTCAGTGTATGTGTGTTGTACAGTAAGCTATATTGTTATTGTGAGTGTTTGGAATAGATGTCTCTATAATATACGTGATTTTATTGTGTTTGTTGATGAGTGTGAGGTCTGGTCTACTTTGGTAAATTAGGCTTATTATTATTATTATAAAATGGCAAACAGTTTTTTTTTAATAAAATCTCATAACAGATGGAGCCACATACAAAAGTTGCTTAAAATTGTGTGTGGCTCCATCTGTTATTTTTATTGTCTGATAGTATATCACAATTATATATATATTGTCTGATAGTTACACAATTAGTTACTGGATTTTTTAATATATCGTATAATACAGTTATTTTGTTGTCTGAATTTTTATAACAAGCGAAGAAATGAACACATTTTAAAATTAATAAAATAATAATAATCAAAACCAAACCGAAACCGAAACCAGTTGAATCGGTCATTAAAAAAACTGCCCATTACGATCTTCCGAACCGTTTCGTAACACAAATAAGAAGATATTTTGTTAAATATCTTCTTATTTAACGAATATTAAATGTAGCCAATTAAAAAAAAATTAACGATGATAATGCATATTTCCCGGAAAATTTCCGCTGTTCGACACGAGCGAAGTTTCCGTAATTTTCCGGAGACGGACAAAAATTATTTCGATATTCCCAAAATTTCCCAGAGATCGTGGACCCGCTGAACCCTCACATACATGTGAGGGTTCAGCGGGTCCACGCATACATATGAGGGTATAGGCCAGTAAGATTTCTTTTTTTCCAAAAATATAAAATAAAGAAATTTTTACACAAATTATTCGAAGAGAAAATTGAGGACTATGTTTTATCAATTATTTTTTTAAAAAAATTGACTGTCGAGGTAAATTTTTTCCTTCCGAAACTTTTGTTAAACAATTTAGAAAAGTGGAAAGACTACGCCTGTTCGTAACGTCAATATGGCGAAAGACACCGATGAAGCCGTTTGCCTCCACCTTTACCATTTTAATTCGTAAAAAAAAATTAGGATTCGATCTAACGACTGGAAATTACGATTAAAGATATTCAATGTTACCGAGACAATTATTTTGCGAATGTTTGCGTACAGTCGCGCCTTACCATTAACGCGATTCTCGCCAATCCACGAATATTAGCCACGAAAAAATGAAAGCACTTACTTTAAATACTTCGCAATGTTCCTCCTTCCAATCGCCACTACTTTGATGCTTCCAAAAAAGTTTAAAAATTCCTTCTTTTTCGTTTTCCCATTCTAGTAATTTGCCAAATGTTTTCTTCTTCAAATGAGGTATAATGAAATCCGGAATCATCCTAGTGTTTTTCTTCGGTGACGTTTTCGTTCGTTTTTTCTTCCCGACAATCTTTTTCCTCTTACCTAGTTCCGTTTTAGCTTTTCCTTCTATTTTTTCTTTAATCTTTCTGGCCATCTGTAACCAATATTAAAATTCTAAAATAAACTATATGAAAAAACGCTCGTGCCTCGAATACACAGAAAAAATACAATGGCGCGCGTTTATGAAACACACGCAACTCCGTTAAAGCTCGAAACGAACCTTCGAACACACTGGACTCCGCTTCTTTACTGTCTGTCTATTCACTATCCGCTGGGCAACCCGTCTGACGTCGCGGAACCTTGACGTCGTAGGAGGGAAAATCCCGGTGCACCTGCGTAATCGCTCGCAATGCGACGTAATCCGCCTGCCGTCCAATCATCTACGACTATATGTCATATATTGTTTTCTGCGTGACACTTGTTGGAACAGAAAGGTTTTATGAACAAAAATATATCCGCTACGTTTATTAAGTAATTGGCTAACAATCGGAAAATACTCCTGAATGTCTTTCGAGTAGAGAGAACAGGATCGTGTGTAGTTTCCTTTATTTCTACTTTCACTTAAAAATTATGAAAACGGAATTTTAAAAATTACATCTAAGCTATGGAGGTAATAGTCGAGGAAGAAGCGGCAACTTGTTTGCTTTGGTTGTGTGGGTTACAGCGAAGTAACGGATGGGCAATCTGCCAAGAAGGAAGGCCTCCGCGAGACACGTGAAAAAAAAAAAAATAATAATAATAATACGGAAAATGTCACGAGACTAACACGTTTATCGGGGACCAATTATCTAATGTTTAACGGTTTTTTTTTTTTTTATCTTCTCGGACACTCGACGGGAAGCATCGATAAGATCTGACGAATAACACAGACGTTGGTGTTATTTTGTGGCGTCACAATATATTATTACGTCACTACAAAAATTCATACAGTGTCACATTTAGATACCGTTTATACATTTAAATAATACAAAACTTCTAGCTTAATTATATTTTAGTTTTATTATATTCGAATTAACCGAGAGGTAAACGAATCAATTTATTTTCTGTATTTTCTTTAATACGTTTTTACTCTTACAAGATATAGTAATAATATTTAAGGTGCTTTTAAATATTTTTTATTTCGAAATGTGGGCCTAGTTTAAGTGAATCGATGCGTTTTAATCATCTTACAACACTTTATTATTGTATATGCCGAATACCTCTTACAGAATGCGAACGATTGTTTGCCCCCGAAGACGTGCAGAAAAATAATATAAAACGTTTATTTTATTAATGTGTCAATTCGATCTTTTCACTCGCTGTTATTATAATAATAAATAAGACTTTTAAACCAAACAAAACCATAAAACAATATAGAGCCACGCCTTTGTTACAATTTCCTTTTACAATGCCATGTGACTTTCACTCCAATATCTGTTTCAAGGTTTTGTGATATGATGTCATTCCACCCCTCCTGTAGCTTCACTCTCTTTAATTTTGTTAATATACATCTGAAAAGTGTTCTTTTTTTATATATAAAGGTATATTAGATTTGAACTTTATCCTAAAATCAGAGTATCTTTGATATCAGGTGGGATCTCTACATCATTATAATTAAGTAATAATTTGTTTTTCCATTGTTCTTTATTTAAAAATAATCGGTAACTTAACTTACTTTCTAATTTTTTAATTTTTCTATTTAAATATTCTTCACAATCCTTATCCAATTTTCCAATGTTATTCAAATTGCCCCCTATTTTTTTAAAATTAATTATGGATTTTAATACAATCTTTTATATAATATTAACATCGTGTCTTTGGATACAATTACTAATACTACGAGGGATTTTTGATCTCTACAACTGTTAATGGGGTATAGTACCATATGTCTATATTTAGTCTATTAATTTGACTAAGGATTACTTCTAGTTTATTACAACCCTATTTATTAGTCTAACTAATTCAACCTAAATTAAAGTCGGGCTAGAAGCTTTATTTAATATAATATTGTAGGAGTTATGCCGATCTACGTTTACACTTTTACAGGTAATGTTGAGTACAGGTACGATGCCGAGTAAAGAAAGGAGAAATTCAATTTATTTTCGTGGCCAGACCCACAGATTTTCCACCAATGGCATACAGCGATCCGAAAGCAGCCTATTTAACTCTTTGGCAAATTCTCGCTGACTGTGGGTTCACACCGTCAAGATCACTTGATTTTTTTTTATAAAGTTAGCTTCTTGTCCTTAATTCGTTTCAAAATATTCTTTGTCTACAAGTGTAATAAGTCCTGAATAAATTAAGGCTCGAGTAGGCAAATAATGTTTAAAAAGTTGAATTCTTTCCTCCTTACTCGATATCCTGTTTTACCAGAAAACAACTCCTACGGTTCCTCGTTCATGGGACACCTTGTAGATTGTATAACCAAGGCCACACTCGATGGCTTCTAGCAAAGCGATCGAGTGGCGAACTAACATAAATCGTAGCAACATCTGTGAAACTACACCCCTTTTAGACATCCGCCGTGTTGCGTAATATGTTGTCGAGACGTTCACAGAGCACGTGTAAAGCTATCGACAGCTAAGTGTACGGTTTTAAACATTTTAATTGTTAATAGTTTATAATTTTAACGTCTTGTAATAAATTCTTTAGGATAATTTTGCCTTATATTTTATAAATGTTTTTCATCTAACGTAAGAAGGCCATTAACACCAGGGGCTAACACGCATTTTAGGGATACGTAAGGTTTTAATAGTTTCAGGTGTGTGATAACCATTTCATAGTAATAATGTCCTACGTATGTGTAATAAAGTATATTTGTATTAAATATGAAACCACTACAGCTAAATTTTCTCAGAACCAGAAGAAAAGTCCCCAGCTTCTTCCCCCTCTTGACAGTTCCGAATACAAAAAGAATGGAGTCAATTTACAAATTTTAAGTCTGTATTTAAATTATAGGATTACGTTCAAGTATAAGCGCCAAGTTTAAAGGACCAGACCCGTTCGGCTCCCAATAACAATTTAAGCGGTACCGAGTCGCTCAAAGTTAGAGGATAAAGAAAATTATAATAATAATAATACTTATCTTTCAACTTTGGGGGCCGAATGGACTCCGACCCCTTACAGTCGGCGCTCGTGTTGATTAGTGTATAGAGGAACGAGACACGGTTGCCTGGACAACAGACGTATATTGATAATCATAACACTAGAGAATCGCGGAATTAAAATAGACGAAATCGATAACTTACAATGAAAGTTTAAATTAACTTTATTTTTATTTTCTAAATAAGCTAATACTCCACCACGAAACGAAATTGCAAATCACCTCCGAGTTGGGTGCACTCACCTATCAGCTACGAGGGAATAGCCCCTGGCAATTGCTCTTCGCCCGCAATTGGATGGCGGCGCAGTTCCCTCGAAGTGGAGAAACACTGATTAGGTGCGCCTAACAAATAAGTGACGAGCGGATAAGCGATCTTTTATTCACTTCCGCAGCGATGTTATTTTTTAAGCATACGACCCGAGTCGAGTTACGGATGCTTCGAAAGTCAGTTAACCGTGTTCTTGTGTGCTTTGTTTCTTTGTGTGTTTTGTGCGTGTGTTCCAGATAGGCCTACATTTAGAACATTTTTCAGTTTGTGTAGATTTTATTCGTTAAAATAATTCGTTAGGAAGCGGTTAATTAGTAAGATCCACCTTCTATACTTACTTCGCGCATCACTAACAGGAAACACACTAAATCACCGAATGTTGAAGTGAAACAACTGCTACAGTCTTGGGAGGAGTCTTCGTGTACACGAGGCCATTGCGATACGTTTTAGGCGGTCCTAACCGTGCTCGGACCACCCCCTCGGTTACGCCTTCGTTCGCGACGTCGAACGATTACAAGTAGAGACAGTAAACACTTAAACATGCAAATATGGACTCTGATTGGCGACTCTGTTTTTGCATTACGATGACGTTTATCGCGCCATTAAATTCCAGCAAAGGACGTAAACAATGGTAAAAAAAATCTCAAATAGGCCTAACTCACGATTGTAAATTTGCACAATCGTAAATTATTATGAAGGTTATTTGAGGAGGATTGGGGAGAAAAACTTCAACTCCAAATCGGTTGGAAGGGAAAGTGTTAGAAGACGTCGGATCTTCGGATAAGGAAATCTGGCAGAAAGGATGTTTGTACTGTACAGTATCTTCTCTGGCAATGCTGAAGGAAGGGTGAATAAAGGATTGAGAAAGTCGAGTTGCTTCGTCGGCCCTTCTCTAAGACGGTAGCACTTATGGTGAATGCAACACCGTTGGGTCTTTTGGAAGATCTGTGGCCCAGTGATCAATCTATTGGGAAGAAAAAGACGTTGATGGATTCTTCTGATCCAACTACACCTTTTTCCATTCGAAAGAGCTTGTTCAGAGGTCCCGTTTTTTCTTCAGAAAGACCCTTTCTAGGGATCTCTCTGAAGAAAAACTGTATGGATCTCTGGGTGGGGAAAAGAACCCGTGACTTTGGGGACACGAGTTTTTATACAAATCATATTCTTATTGGTTACGATCTTCCCTCTTTTTTCTCCCGGTTGGAACCGAATTCGAGTCTCGGGGAGATATACACCTCCTCCATCCGATGCCGGGCCCGACTCTGCTCGAAGAGTTTAATTACGACTTCCTCGGGATGGTAGCCTGTAATTAGAGGGAAAGATGTGTTTTCCTTTCCGTTTTGGGAGGATGCTGCTGTAAGGACACTGCCCGACGATGGTCTATCTTACTTGTGAGTGAAAGACGGGAATACTCGCTTTATCCGCGATCGGTCAGAATGACGCGAGAATTTAAAAACGTATGGGATTAGTGGTGCAGGACACAGATTCACACGGATTGACAAGTTTCTCGTTTAATAAGATAATAAACATAGTACAGCGGTACAGTGAACAAGGGTACAGCGAAGACCCTGTCGAAAGATGTCACACTAAAAGGAAGACGAAGAGTTCGTTTTGATTCGCCGTGAAGTAAATCTTGGAGGTTGGAGGGCCCGCGGCTGAAATGTCCTATCCGGCGACGGTTGGAAGTTGAGTCCTCTTCGTCGGTCGCTCGGAACTTCGAAGATCGATTTTTCCTCGGCCGGATGATCTTGACCTGGACTTTTATACAATTTCCCTCCAAAATCCCGCTTTCTGGTTGGTCCGAACTAGTGGTCTCTCCCATCTTTATCGATCCCCGATCTGTTCCTAGGATCGCGGGAGTTGTCGAACACCCCACACGCTCCGCTCTCCCCGATGGTAGGGTCACGCTCGGTGTAGGGTGACCGCAAAACTCCCCTTC